TGGGGACCTATTCTTGACCACTCGCATCTTCAAATATCGCTCACAACTCGCATCTCCGAAAAAGCCATATAACAATACACGTGATGCGTAACTTTGCGTATATGCCGTGTATTGTTAAATGGCTTTTTCGGAGATGCGAGCAGGGTACGGAACTAGTTAATTAAGAGGAAATTTACCTGATTAGCTAACCTAACCTCACCTCAAACGCCGCGCCCGCCGCGCCGGCGCCGCACATAGGGGTATTTGGTGTATAAACCTGGCCAAAAGTGAAATATTTTTATTTTCATTTTTTATCTTAACTGAATACAAATCTATAAATACTAAATGTAAGCGCATTTATTAGCTTTTTTTAAGTCGTAAGTTGACTATCAAATAAATAATATATTTCAATTATAAGTATGAATTATCTTGAGTGTATTCTGAATATTTCTAAGTATAAAATAGTGGAATTGTTTGTAGTGCTTTTTTGTGTGCAAATTGTTTATAATAACTGTCATGATGGATAGAGAGCCAGCTGGCAAGTCCTGTTTTATGCCATATTTTTATTTTGAAACGTTTCCTTCTATTCTATTTCTTTATAATGTTTTATATTTAAAAAATCAGAGGCATTTTTATAAGGTGTGGTAAGGTATAACTATTCGGCAATATTCCGCATGGAAATTAGTATCCGTTCAATGCTTAAAGTCTCCAGCTTTGGAATATGTACAAAAATCTTGCCAATATTTACCACTGTCCAAAAAAACACTGATTTAAATAGATTCTTAAAGGAATTAGTCTTTACCCTATAACACCCATCCTCGCTCAAATATCGTCTATAATATACAAATTACTTTCTTGTTCTAGCATCCTCATCCAATTGCTTGGTTTTGCACAGAATGGCCCTATTTGATCGGTGGAACGGGTTTCAGAGTAGAGGAAAAAATATTGTGTAGGAAAAACAAAATGGGGTTCCATATTAGCACCCTCTCCTCTAATAATTAATATTACTTGCAAAAAAGCAAAAAAATCATAAAACATAATTTTGGCCAACTTTTAGTTCTTAATACCCTCTGTGCGCCGTCGGCGCGTGCAAAAGCAGAAATAAATAAATGTGTTTTCGTTCCGGTAAAAGCGAGAACGCCGATGAACGCTGGTTGACGGCGCCTACCTGCTTTCACTGTGAACTAGCCGATTTGATACCACGCTTTAATTTTTCAAGGTTATAAGCGCGAGGCGGCGCGGCGCTACTATGTACCCATATAGAGGGTATCCCAGAAATACCTGCAAGTATAGTTCAACCCCAGAAACACGTCTATGAGGTTTTCTCTAAATATTTTTTTTTTGAAAAATCGGAATTTTTTGAAAAATTTTTTGGAACTTTTTTTAGTTTTTATTTAAAAACCATAATTTCTTAATAATATGGCAACATAGGTAGTAGATTAAATTTACAAGAAAGAAAATCCAGAAAAGATCCAGTGGTTCTCAAACAAATCTCGAAGTATTGAAAAGAATGTGTAAGGACCAAGAACTATTGACTACAATAAAAAGACGGAAAGCAGCATATTTTGGTCATATTTTTCGAAATAACAAATATAGTTTCCTACAGCTGATCGTTGAGGGAAAGATTGAATGAGAAACGAGGCATCGGGCGTAAACCGCGGTTTTCCTGGTTGCGGAATTTGCGCCAGTGGTTTAATATAGGAGAGGCCAGTGCAATTATCCGTTTGGCTCAAGACAGGGAGGAATTCCAATTGATGGTCGCCAACCTCGGATGAGGAGAAGGCACATGAAGAAGAAGGTTCTCAAAATTTTAGCAAAAAATCATTTTTTTTGGAAATTTTCAAAGTAAAATAACTCCGTTATTTTGGACTTATTTGAAAAACGATAAAGAGAAAATATGTTTCTTTTTAGAGATCTACTACCCTTTAAAATACTTGCACTTATTCCTGGAATACCCTGTTTATAACAATACACGTGATGCGTATACGCAAAGTTGCGAACGATGTCAAGAATAGGTACCCAGATTGGCGTCGACTACCGGAAAGCGGGAAACCTGCTTGCACTGTGTTCGCACACTAACACAACACTGGAAATAACATAAGAATATACCGGGTGCGTCTCAAAAGTGGCTCACCCCCATAACTTTTTTATTTTTTCAGATAAAAAATCGAGATTTGGTATGTTAATATATGACATAAATTAGGATCGATTGACGTATTCAATTGTTTTTGGTTTCTTTCTGTTTCACCGGAAAAGACTTACAATTTTTGGTTTTTAAATGGCACATTCGGTATTTTGATTTATAACGAAAATTTGACTCGAAATACCAAGTGTGTGGTACCAAATTATTCGTAAAACATGCGTTTTCCAAATGTGCTAACGAACCGCCCTCGTTCCATTTGAAAAAATTGAGATATGATTAAAAATACGATTTGAGCATCTTTTAACCGGCCAGGACAAGGTACTAAAAACATTAGACGATCAAATCTATTTTTTATTATATTTCCAAGGCTCTTTGATAAAAAATTAGCCTGAAAAAATAAAAAAGTTATAGGGGTGAGCCACTTTTGAGACGCACCCGGTATATCTTTGGGACAACTAATACACAGCTCGGAATCTCTACTAGCAGAAATCAACAGAAAAACTTAGTATGGAGTACTTATGGAAGAAACTCAATCATATTCAAATCTAGAATGCCACTCCATCTAAAGAAGAAAACATTTGACCAATGTGTACTACCAGTCATGACCTATACATGCGAAACCTGGACACTTAAAACGGACATCATAAGGAAACTGCAGGTCGCACAACGCTCAATGGAATGAAATTATTCTGGGAATAACCAAAAGAGACCGTAAAAGAATAGAGTGGATACGAGAAAAGAGTCGGTAATAGATGTCATCCACAGAGTCAAATCCCTCCCACCAAGCATAAAACCTCACATTACATTTGCAACATTGCAGTCAATCCCCAAACAGTTTGCTTTGTAATTTTGATTTCTAAAAAAAATCTATATAAATTAAAATATAAAAATATAAAAAAATATTTTAGAGCACACAACAAACTTGTTAAAAGTTTTTCTTGTGTTTCCGCCCTTAAATTGGTATTTTTTCAGAAGATCGTAAAAACTGTTTAGAATGAAGGACCCGTTTCCCAATGGGAAAAACTAAATATCTTTCTGTTAGGTTTAAAATCCCACGTCCATAAATTAATATAATACTTGCTTTGAAACAGCTAGAAACATACGACTAGCATCAATCATTAAACCTGTAAAAGCCTAAATTTTAACGTCGAGATTATATAAGCAAAACCCCTAGAAAGCAATAAAACTCTAAGACCCTTCTCACGATAGACCTCCCACGGACCAATACAAACAGATTTTGGATAAAAACAAGTATAATTGTTAATTTAAAGATTAAAGCAAAGTTCACGTAATGATATTCTGAAAGTTAAGGACTGTCCTCCTTTTTTATCCAAAATATCCAAAAGTATGTGAAATAAATAAACATATCAGATAAAGCAGCGAAACCTAATGAAATCCAATTATTATAAATGTGATTTGTTTGGTTTTTTAAGGACAGACCTTAAAATAGACTTTAGGTAGGGTTAAATTTAATCATGTGTAATTGTGTTTATGGTAATTATAATATTTACACGGATATTAGTGATAATTTGGAAAATAACGTAGAAATGGCCATAGAACGACATCTCTGACAAGTAGGATGAACTAGACCGGGAACGAAGGGTAGTTGAGGTTTTCTTAGACCAATCAGACGGTTCCTGAAAAGCGAACCTGGAGAGGATTTGAGAATGGCTCGGCTTTTGGTGGTTCCCTATTCTCTTTACCCGCCCATTTTAAAGATTTCGAGGGTTAGGAAAATAGTTTCTTGTATCAGTTCGGTACTGACTTTTAAATTAGACGGTCGAATTTACTCCGTGTAGATCTTATATTATCCAGTGGTTTTTTTAATTGTTTTAGTAAGTTCTTTATCTAAAGATTTTCTCAAATGATATTCAATTCTCAAGTTCTAAACTTTTCATGCTTAAAGATTCCCAATTGTTGTTTTAGATTTTCTTAATATTTTTTCTTTGTTAATTATTTAAGGCTTAATGTTCTAAAAGCTTTGGTTTGGTGTCCAGTTAATATTTTTTTAACATATTAATTTTCTGGCAAGGATAATTCTAAGAGAGATTTGAATTCTATGTTAATTTTAGATAATTTAGATTAGACTAATAAGAATATTTTGTATTTTTAACTTTATCATCTCCGAGTTCTAATTTCATCCATTAATTATTTTTGATTAAATTTCCGTTTTCTTCTTTATATTTCATTAATTATAAATGTTTTATTGTTAAATCTTTTTCTTTATTTTTCTTTATTTATTTCTTTATATTAAATATATTTAGGTGAAAAATCGGCATTTTATTTCTTAATCTCACCTTTTCACTAAAATATTAAGCTATTTAAAAGAACACTGTGATAACCGGTCGAGTGGTTTAATCGAAAGAATGAGTCCGAGAGCGAATGGGTAGATCTACAAGGGGATCAATGAAGTCTTCGACAGGTTCTTGTTGTTGATGAAATGCTGACGGATGTTTAACTGAATTTAGAAAGAACCCTTACCATAAAAGTGCGATGCCTTAATTTCTATTTTTAGCAGGTTATATTTTTTTATATATATAAACGATAAACTATATTTACGCTCTGAAAAAGAGCGTGTTCTCATTAATCCAAGTTCTGCCTACCGCTCAATAAATTATTTTAAATATAGTTATATAAAGGCCACACCACCATAATATCGGACAAATCTTGAAAGTTTTGTCACACAACTTTGAGCTATCAAGAATCAAATGCATTTGTCTTAAATAATGTAACAGTATAATATACATATATATTTTATATTCATTACGAGAAATTCCATAGCAGACACCTAAATTTATATTTAAATAGAGTTAGTTTTAAAAATACTCACCGATGGCACACGTACGCAGCTCGACCAAGTTGATGACGGAATACTCACATGAGACGATTCACATATTGATGTGTCTTGGGTACGATATATTCCAATAGGTATTTCACAAGTGGTCGAACACAGTTTCTGATATAGGCGACCATATGTTCTGATCCACATATCATCCTTTCCTATTTTCATCTAGAAATAATATCAATTTACATTTGTTTTCTAAATAGAAATTGTTTCTAATTATTGCTTTTTATCTACCTATAAAACTGTTTTCAAAGTAGGTACCGGGTGGCCAACTAAGAATGGACGTCGGCTGTATCTCAGAAACTACTTATCGTATAACTTAGGGAAAACATTCTAATAAGTAAATCGATCAAGAGAAATCGCTGGAAATTATTTTAAAGTTTGAAAAATGCCCGCTAGGGGGCGTTTCTCTAATAGCGAATCAGAAAACAGGGGTTTTCTCAAAAATACGCAGGTGAACAGGTATTTTAATATTACTATTAGAATCATCGAGAAATTTGTAATTTTTTTGATATAAAGTATTTTGCTCTCTAGGCTATATTTCTCTTTGCACAGTTAAATAGAGCACAAAATTTCCAAAATATCAGCGCAAACCGCAACTTTCTAACTTCTCTCTAACCGGAGATATTAAGAGAACAAATCACGTTAGGCTGCCGCTTAGGATTATATGGTCTAAAAATTATAGTAGTAGGCTAGGAAACAAAAAGAGGTAAATTGGTTACGTCAAAATATCAAAACATATTTTTTAATTTCATTTTAATACCATTTAATTATTATTTATCCATGTTCGTTTTTGATTCGACCCCATAAATTAAAACCCAGGCATATTGAATCCGATGACCTAGCTGGCCATGGAAATATTCCGCTCCAGCGTCTCTATCTACTAAAGTAAGTGGTATCCAAGAAATATCAATTGTATGATGTCAAACAGCGCCCTCTAGCTACCACAAAAAAAATGTGGAAACAAAATTTATACTGGAGATCATTGAGGAAGAAAAACTCTTTTAAACGAGCCCTAGTTTGTTTAAATCGCGCAACCCAAACCAGAGTTATCCTTATTTTAACAAAAGCAAGTTTAACCTTCCCTAATCACTTTATTTTATGAGATAGAGCAAAATACTCTATATCAAAAAAATTACAAATTTCTCGATGATTCTAATAGTAATATTTAAAATACCTGTTCACCTGCGTATTTTTGAGAAAAACCCTGTTTTCTGATTCGCTCTTAGAGAAACGCCCACTAGCGGGCATTTTTCGAACTTGAAAATAATTTCCAGCGATTTCCTTTGATCGATTTACTTATTAGAATATTTTTCCTAAAGTTCTACGATAAGTAGTTTCTGAGATACAGCCGGCGTCCATTCTTAGTTGGCCACCCGGTGCATAAAAGTGAAAGATAGAAAAGCTTTTATATAAAGCGGTGTAAGAATCAAGGAAATAGTGTGATATTTTCACAGTTAGTTGTGATATTTAATTTATTTAGTGAGATGAACAGTTTAAGAGCTGAGTTATCTGAGTTAAGAGTCTAAAACTATATGGAAATCTAGAATATGAAACAACAGAAAAATCTAGGAGATGAAATAAAGATATCAGTCAACATTACAAGGTGAGAACGAAAAATGTAGTAAGAAATCGAGTTTGTAGGAAATTCTGCGTATTTTTATTTTCGATAGAGACGCTATTTTCGAAAACTTTATTATTCTATAGTTTAATTATAATACCCCAGTCAAATTAGTTAAAAAAAGATACATCGGTGGAAAAAATTCCCACAGTTTTGAGAATGATTTTAAACGATTCCTCTATACTTGGGCTGATATGTGTCAAAAGACCCCGAAGATAGCTCGAGGAGTGGGGGGGAGTTAAATGTCAATTTTTTCACTTTTTTGTTTATATCTCGGAAACTGTGACTGAAAACACTATAGATACAAAAATAAAGCCGACGAAATGCTCTATAAAAATGATTCTATACATTTTTGTTCCTGGACTTATGGTTTCCGAATTATGCCCTTTACAAATTTAGGTGCTAAATCAAATGGCATATTCCAAATCCGTACAAACACATTTCTTTTTATTGCACGTTTTTTATTCAAATAGTGGTGAAGAAGTACGATATCATGAGTATTAAGTATTAAGTATAACTTTTAGTATATACAGACAGTCCTCGTACTTACGTCAGGTTAGGTTCTTCAAAATTGCGCCTTAAGTCGAAACGACGCAAGTCGAATCTTATTTTAAAAAAGTATTTTTAACTATCCATAATTGTAAATATAATACTTATACTAATATGGCAACTACAGAAATACCAGAGAGTAAAGTAGACATACTTAGAAAGTATATATTTATTTTTTTGGTTGGAACTTTTATTGTGGGTGTCGTCAAAAGTCGTAATAGTTGCTAATTAAGTAATGATCAACACTGTCCCGCTTTTTCATTATGAGGATCTGTCAACCCTGCTTGTATGTTGCTAAAATTTTATTGTTTATGTCCAAACTTCTTTTAAAATTTGGATCGTTCTTTTCAAAAAACCACGTAACTCGAAACAGTGGGACGTAACTTTGAGGAATAGTGAAAAAAATTTGTTCGACGTAACTCGAAACGACGTAACACGAAACGACGTAAATCGAGGACTGCCTGTACTGTGATTTTATAAATTTTAGACGTGATGCGTTCACATAAACCACTCCTTGAATGCGTAAGTTATTTGTTAACACAAATCATGTATTCTGTTCATTTATTCTGCTTTTATATTTTTAGGCAATTAAAAGAAAAAACCAAACTAGTCAGAGAGTTGCATCTCGGGAATAATCGATCAAAACTCTAGAGGTACACGGTTGTTATTGTAAACTGTCTTTAGATATACATTTTATTTCACTGTTGTTACGATTCGAGGACGTGAACCTTCCTGGATTATTTTTGTATATAATTAATTAGTTAAATAAAAGCCTAGTGTTACGTTATAGTTAATTGTGTGTTTTATTTTCTTTTCATTTCATCACTCCCTGGTATCTCCACTGTATAAAAGCTACCCGTATTGGCACTAGTGTTCTCTCAAACACTTTAAACATTGGGATGGCGCCCGAGGAACCGAACCAAGGCAACTCGGCGTCCGTGACCTTTCTCTAAAACGGGGGAGTCTCACAAGTTTCAGAAATTACACTTTTATATGAGCTTTTAAAACTTTTTGAAATTCTGCTAGGGAATACTGATACTATATTGGTAAAATGGATTTGTAGTGCAGATACGTTTATAGAAATATTACACTTGCGCCAGCTGTACCTACAGGAAGGACTCATGTAGCATATACTTATTATACTACAATTTTTGCAGCTGCGCTAAACGCTGTGTGTGTGGTGTACTTTCTTTACCGTAAGGCAGGCATGCATATTTTATATCTTTAACTTGCTGTTATTGTTAAATCGTGTGTGCACTAGTGCTCTCCAATGGAAGACAAAAAGTCAGGATGCAATGAAGACTTGAAAGATAACGTAAGGACCCCTTAATTTTACCATTATTAATATGAAAGGTTTAATTTTAGACTTTAAATGGATTTAAATGCGAAAATACAATATGAGAAATAGTGTTAATTTTGTCAACCTTGTAACTCTTAAAATGTTAGACCTATTAAAAAAATGCATTCAACTAATTCGGTAGAGAATGTTCTGAGCTTCAATTTTCTATATAGAGCGTTTTTCGGTAGATGTCATAGTTTCCGAGATATAAGCAAAAAAGTGAAAAAATTGACATTTAACCCCTCTTCTCTCCTCGAGCTCTTCATCTATCTTCGGGGACTTTTACACATATCAGCCCAAGTCTAGAGGAATAATTTACAACCATTTTCAAAACTGTGGGATTTTTTTCCACCGATTTGTCTAATTTGATTGGGCTATAAGCAAAAAAAAAGAAGTAATACCACACACGTTTTTATTATGTTGTTGTTTTAATATGTAAAATGTGAACGTCTGTGGTAACTTTAATTGTATTTTTGTTTGATGATGCTCGTATAAGCGAAACACGTCCCAGTTTAGTTTGAGCAGATTGAGTGCAAAGTTTTGTTCTTAAATATCTACTCTACATATTATAAACGCGTGTTCAAATATTAATCTTGTGGAATATATATCAACATAAAACGAGATGTAATTAACGAAATATCATCGTAACAACAGCTATTTAAGGAACGTCTTCGTTAGGGATCGGCAAGACAAGAAATCTTGTCTTGACAAGCAATTTCTTGTCTTGTCTTGAAATATTTTCAAGAATTAAAAAATAATCTTGTCTTGACCATTTCTTGAGAGTTGATTTCTTGTCTTGATTCAAGAAATCTTGAAATTTCTTGATATCTTGACAAAAGGGGAACTCCCGTTTAAAATTCATTTATTAAAGGGGAATCCCCTGTTTAAAAGTCGCGGTGAGATTGGTTAATGTGATGTTTATGCTTTATGCGTAAAATCGAAGGTCAGCCATCTAATTTTACGCAGTAAATTGTGTCTAGCCCCAGTAAGGCAACTATTAAGTTTTGGTTAGCGTGGTTATTTGGAGGGTGTTAATTCATTGGTTAGTTGGTTATTTGGTGGGGTTGGTTGGTTTTTACTAATTTATATTTGTTTTTTAGATATTCATTGATTTTCTTTATTTGTTTGTAATAAATTATATAGTACGCCATAGCTGTTCTGCATCCGTTTATGTCAAAAACTTAATAGCTTAATAGTTGCCTTGCTGGGGCTAGAAACAAATTACGGAGTACGTTTTATAATCAGTACGGAGTTCATGTGCCTTATAATTCATGGCTCTCAAACACTAGTTTCAACTTTTTAAGCAGCATTTACCAACCGTAAACAAAAATAATTTTTTTAGAAGCTGTTCTTGTTATCATGTTTGATGTGTTTGCTATTTTGATATGTATTTTTATTATTTTTTTTGCAAAACAAATATTTTTGTACTTATTGCAGTTTTTTTAAATATCTAAAAAATTTAGTATTATGTGATATGTTATAGCCTAAGATGTTGACTTAAAGACTAAAGAGAACTTTCTAAAACGGGTCTACTTCAGTGGCGTACATTAAAACGTATAATTTTTTTTATTTTAAAAGTTTTACGTTAATTCAAAATGTCTGTATGCCACCGAAGTACACCCGCTTTGCAAAGTTTTTTTTATTCTAATATCGTAGGCCATAACATATCCAAAAAATTACAACAAAAACATTTAAAAATAAAAAAAATTATTAGGCATTAAAAAGGTTCCAATTTAATTTGGCCCACAGTATGCCAACTTTGGACATCCGACTTTGGACGTACTTATATCAACTTTGGACATTGAACATCTGACAAAGTGCCGCTTCGTACAAATATATTTTGCTTAATATTTTTTTTATCCAACAATTAATGGATATTCATATGTATAATATACAAATACCTAAGTAAATGAGGATTTCTTTTTTATTTTATATTTTCAAGAAATTTCAAGATTTTCTTGATTTCTTGTCAAGAAATCTTGATCTTAAGTAATTTCTTGTCTTGTCTTGAAAACCAAAAATCATTTCTTGTCTTGGTTTCAAGACAAGATCAAGACAAGATCAAGAAGTTGTCAAGAAAATGACGACCCCTAGTCTTAGTTACTTATTTCACTGAGATTTACTGAAAAAAAAGTCCCGGGTACAGATACCGTCACGTTGTGGAAATAGCTCAAAACGAAGCAAAATTGAACTAGGCAACAGGAAACGCCAAAAAAATCCCCCCACGCCCTCCTCACGAATAGTTTTTAGGCACTTTTAAGAATCGAAAGTAGGTCGACGCAAACCGAAGTGGGTCAAGACAACTGAAAATAAACAGAAATGTATTTTTTACATTATATCTTTTATAATGTAAAAACATTTTCTTTACATATACCTCTACATTATTCTCCGCATAATGTAGAGGCTGTTTTAGAAGAATTGACGCCTTTTTTGAATAGCAAAAAAAGCACAAAGAAAACATTATTTTGTATTTTTTTAATGTTACGTCACGAAATTTTGTGCCCAAAATAAAAATACAATTTGACTAGATTATATAAGACGAGTAATAATAATAAGTGTAATATGATTACAAAAAGTATAATATGTTAGCAGTGGCGGATACAGAGGGCGGCATGGGGCCCAGACCCCCCTAAAATCTATGAATTGCGCTAAATATTGGGCTTTTGGGTTAAAAATGGCGTCCTAAAAAGCATATTCTACATTACTTTTTATTTGCCCCCCCCTAAAATAAATTCCGTACCGTATTCCTGTATCCGCACCTGTATGTAATAATAATGAATTAAAAACTATAACAGCTATAATTTTAATTTTATATATTATTTAATTAGGTAATTAAGGATCAGGCCAGAATGGAACTTGTGTATGTTCCATAACCCGTTTAATTGGTAGTTGGCCTTTTTTTAAATTACCTTTTTGGCTTTTATAGAGAATAATAGATAAGTACTTAGATAATATTAAAAATATAATTTAAGAACATTAGACAATTTTTTTGCTCATTTTTCTCACAAATTATAAGTCGATTTTTTGTTAGGTTAGTTAGTTTACATGTCCTTTTTCTTAAACGCTTGTCTTTTGAACTCAACAATTTATGCAATCAAAAGAAAATATAAATAATATTTAACTATGACGTGCTATGCACTATACTAGTAGCATTAATGGTTGTGCTGTAGCTATAAGAATGCTTACTGAAGTTAGAAATCCGGAACCTGGAGCTTGATCAATACCAAGTAGCAATCTAACAAACGTTATGACGTAATCCTTAACGAATGCTTGATATAATAGCGTATCAAGCATACTAGCACTAAATACACTACCAGCAGCAAATGGTAACCTAAACATATAGGATATATGAGACCCCCTTTCTTTTTCTCTCTAAAAAAGAACATAGTATTAATTTTTTGTTGTTTATTGTCCATAAATGAAAATAAATATTTAGTAATAGTTAATTAAAGCATAAAGTGAAGAACACAAACACAATCATTATAAATATCGCGAAAAACTGGATAAAATGGCAACTGGGCCATTCCGTCGACCCGGTGTATATCCTTCAAGAACGGTAAACTAATAGGATTGCTCATCCTCATAAGACATACGTTCGCCTCTTCCCGCGCTTCAGCTGACAGATGTGACGTCATTGTAGTCCTTGTCATGATAGTGTGTATTATTAGTTGCCTATGGTAAACTTACAAAAATAACAGCTGAGAAATTTTGAGTTAATTATTTTGTCAATTTTAATGTGAAAAAGGTGTTTTTAAAGTTTTTAGAGCTATAGAGTGTATAAATACGTTCATTTTGTGTTGTGGATTGTGATAAAGTGCTTACTAAGTGCCTACGATATTGTTTATTAATTATTTTAAAGCAAAATGGAAGTACTTTAAAAAGAATGCCTGCAAAAGGTGATGCTGGGAACTGCTGTTCTTAAAATTGCATTATCCGAGTATTTAATACGATTTATTCAGTTAATTTTATATACTGCATACATATAAGGGGTTTAAATAAATAAACTAAATAATGAACGTTTTGCATCCGGCAACCAATAATGCACGTGTGGGTATTATTGGTTGCCGGATAAGGACTAATAATCATGACAAGGACTACAATGACGTCACAAAGCGAGGAGTTTTCGCATGCACCTGGCAGACACTTTTGGCTGAATGAGCAGTCCTTTTAGGTTAACTGTTCTTGTATATCCTTCTTTGTTCTTTATTCTGTTCTGTATATATCAAACCAGTTTTGAAACCAATTATTTTTTTTTAGTTTAATAAAATATAATCTTTGTTTTGCATAAAATTTAATGTAACATGATAATTCTCAAAATTAAATAGAAAAATATAGAGTAAAAATATAACTTACTTTTTCCATTTTGGAAAGATGAAGAGCATATTTGTCATGTGCTCTAAATTGCATAAACCTCATATTCGATGATTGAGACAATTCCGTAATACTTTTTATGCTAGGAAAAAACCTATAACCAAAATAATTACAATGAAATACTAGAACTCTTTTAGATAAACCTACTTAAACATAGTTTGTACAGCAACTATCGTATTACAGTCTGATAGAGAATCTTCTTCGGCAGAGTTAGATAGTTCTTTATTTACAACAACGACATTTTCGGCTAATGTTATTCCAGCACGTAGGAGGTCGTCTAAACTAAAAAAAATATAATATAAATTTTAAACATTATTTAAAAATTGTTTACATTTGCCATCCAAAGTCATAGTTTCAGTATCAGATAAATTTAGTAACTTTAATGATTGTTGAAATACTTTGATGCTACTTCGGTACTATTACGAATAAATGGAGTCATAGAATACATAAATAGCGGCAGTATTTTAGTTTCAATGTTTGACCACGTAAATAACCACAATGAGACATATCAAGTAGCACTTAAAAGAATTAAGTACAGGGTGTCCCATTTTAGTTGAAATCATACGATATCTCCGTTATTTTGAAGATGAAGGGTTCGGTTTGCACAAACCTGTGCCACTTTTTTGTCAAACGGAAGATGCCGCACACAAAATTTTCATAGCTCTCTTCGTTTCTGAGTTTTGAGCTACAGGGTCTTTTTTGAAAATTTTGCAATTTGGGACACCCCCTGTATCTCTGTTATTGCTAAAGGTATTGAGACGGTGAAAACTGTTCATTGTAGAATATTTACGTAGAATACAGTGGCGTAGTCTGTTACTCTACGAAAATAATATTTTTAAAGATATGAACTAAAGTTATGTTTTCTTAAATGGAACACCCTGAAAATTTAACAAATTATATGATCTTGCCTGCTATAAGCTTCTCAAAAATATATAACACTCTATATTTATTTTCACTATTTAATGCAATATTTAAAAAAAAAATATTAAAAGATCATATTTATTAGTAGGCCATGATTGATCATAAAAGAAACTAAATAATTATTGAAAGTATACTGCTATCTGTCTCTTGTTTTATTTTGAGAGCCACTAATTAATTCCTTATCTATTAGGGAAACTTAAATCTCTACCGCTATTTGTAAATCTTGGAAGCTATCGTATCGGAACTTTTAAGTATTCCTTTAGCGAATTTATGTAAAATATACTTTCAGCATGAAGGAGCCCCCCCTCACAACTTAATTTACAACGAAAATATTAGAATTTTATTAAATTATTATTTCCCAAGTCAATGAATTGGAAAAAATGTACCCATATGATGGCTTCCCTGATTCCCGGATTTGTCCGTTCTCGATTTCTGATTTTGTTTTTTTTTTGAAATATGAAATATATCGTGGCAACTAATGCGATGTCAAACATCTGGAAAATGCCTTAATAATGCAAGTTTTTAGATATTTGTAAACCCATTCCATTATTATATACTCCCTTATAAAAAAGAGAAAAATATATTCAGATGTTCAGTGGTGATGTTCAATTCCAAATAAAATGTTAATATGTGTATGTCTATTTTAGTAAATACAATTTTGATTTTGTTATTTATCACGGCCTACTAATAAGAAAACGATATATTTTAAATATTGCAGTAAATAGCGAAAATAAATATAGAGTGATATACAGGGTGTCCCAGGCTGAGCGTGCATTAGAACTTTCTAGAGAACAGCAATATCTAGATCGGAGATTTTTTGCACATCATTGTTTCACAATGAGATATATCGATTAAAAATATTTTCAATATGGCGGCACTTCCGGAAGTACCGGAAGTTGACAGCAACTTTCTTATTTTAAATGGGTACCCTCATTTTTTATTACATACTTAAATTCTCTGTAAAATTTTATGAATTTTGATATCAAACACTCTATACCTAACATTAACCGTTTTTGAAAAAAAAATATTTAAAATATTTGGACAAAAAAAATTGCCTGTCAAAAATATGTGTATAGCCGAAACGTCAAAATTAGTTGTTACCACAGCCACTGTGTCATAAAGAGAAGACATGTGGCTATCTATTTCAAAAATTACATTGTTCGAACGTTATATAGTAATGACGTTAGCTGTCATTGAATTGAGCGATTAAAAAATTATCATAAATAATTTTTTTCAAATGGAAACCCACTTTTTTTATTCCACTAGTATAAAGGCTTTTCAATTCGTTACTTTTTGACCATACATGTTCCTATACCTAAAATAAATTGTTTTTAAGTTATTTAAGATTTGGTTTTAAAGCGTATATTTTTTTTGATTTTAACCAGTAGCCTGTGACTTTAAACGTCTAGTAGATGTGGGCATGTCATATTGTGACACTTTGTTCAAAAAGCAGTATGTTATCGATCATCATTTCCAAGCCAATTTGCACTGTTTTTTTTTCGATCATAGGATATATTATTAATAATATCAACTATTACATATCACTAAAGAGCGAAAATACGAGATATATTTTTATAAATACACTTTTTTAAGCAGGCAGTATTTATAGTATAGAAAATTCAAATAATTCGTTTTCTGATAGATGGAAATACATTGTCTGACTGTTTGACACTTACTGTCAAAGGAATCTAGATAAAATCAAGAAAAATATACGTTTTCAAACTAAATCTTAAATAACTTAATACCGATTTATTTTAGGTATAGGAACATGTATATTCAAAAAGTAACGAATTGGAAAACCTTTTCACTAGTGAAATAAAAAAAGCGGGTTTCCATTTGAAAAAAATGATATGATAATTTTTTAATCGCTCAATTCCATGACAGCTAACATCATTACTATATGACATTCAAACAATTTAATTTTTGAAATAGATAACCACATGTCTTCTCTTTATGACACAGTGGCTGTGGTAACCACTAATTTTGACGTGTAGGCTATACACATATTTTCGACAAACAATTTTTTTCGTCCAAAAATTTTAAATATTTTTTTTCTCAAAAACGGTTAATGTTAGATATAGAGTGTTTATATCAAAATTCATAAAATTTTACGGAGAATTTAAGTATGCAATAAAAAATGGGGTCACCCATTTAAAATAAGAAAGTTGCTGTCAACTTCCGGTATTTCCGGATGTCCCGCCATATTGAAAATATTTTTAATCGATAGATCTCGTTGTGAAACAATGATGTGCAAAAAATCACCGATCTAGATATTGTGGTTCTCTAGAAACTTCTAATGCACGCTCAGCCTGGGACACCCTGTATGTATATATATATACAGGGTGGCGCACCCCATTCGCCTCGGTTGATTATACGAAAACGGAAAGATGTAGAAACAAAATATTTTATGGGTATATGTGGGGAGGCAATATGCACAATTTAACATTATTTCGAAATATACAGGGTGTTTCAGAACTAAGATCCATACCAAAGTTATATTTTCTTATGGAACACCCGGTATTTTATTTCATTTTTGGATTCTTGGGCTCAAAAAAAGGCAGTCCTTCTATCTTCACGAATAACGGAGATACCGTATGATTTCAATCAAAATGGGACACCCTGTACAAGGCGTCCCACTAATAGCTCACGGCTATATCTTGGAAAGTATTAGCCGTAGAACCTGCGAAAAAAAGTATTTATAACTAAAGAGGCCATGATAAATTGCCGGAAATTATTTTCAAGTTTGTAGAATGGCCTGTAGAATGCGGAACTGCTATGACAAATAAGAAAATGGCATTTTTACAAAATTCTGCCTAGATAAGGGATACTAATCTTAAGATTAAATAATGGCGTCATAATCTCAAGCAAATTTCATTTTTTTTGTTTAAACGATTTTGCCCTATCTACAAAATAAAGCGGAGGTAAAATAATTTAAAGAGATGGAGCAGGTATTCTTATTAAAACTCTCGATGAATTCCCCATCTTCTCAATGAATTCCAAAATTAATTTTTCTAAATTCTAATTCCTAAACTTAGTATATGTGCATAGATGTAGATATACGTACCAGTCTATTGATCCCAACATCCAATACACCAAGGGAAAATACGAAATTGAATCTAGGAATGCAAAATCGGGTCGTCTCTCTAATAATAAAATAACGGGATTTAGTGAAGTCTTAGGACGAAAATGAGCTCTTAAAGGAATAATAAAATTGTATATGCCATTTGAGGCAAAATCTGCTGCTAATATTATAGTTTTATTTTGCCATTGATAATCTCTTGCATTCCTAAAAGTAAAATAGTCGTCTTTAATACCATGAAGATTGATTAAAAGTAAGTAATGCATTTTTTCTAAACATATTTAGGTATTATGTTGCCAAAAAATATTTATACGGGATCAATAACAAAATAACCCTAATAACAAATAAAATATTAAAATAAATAATAAAATTATTTTGACATGTTGTAATTTGTTTTGTGGTTGTTTCTTTAAATTGTTACTTTATTACAAATTAGACTGATAGATGATAAGATCAATTAAATAAAAGGGTAAATTTTTAGCTACCCCCATAAATTATTAACTAACAAATCAACATCAAACAATAAATTAAATAAACTAGCTCTATCTGGTTTATACAGGGTGAGTTTCCTACGATGTTCTCTATGGGTATCTCGGAAACTACTGGAGATAGAGAGTCAGTTAAATGGGGAAAGAATTGCAGTTTGGTGGGGTCATAAATATGCGCTTTTCAGATTTTCGAAAAAGTTCATGGCTTACTAGATATTTCGAAAAAAACAAATTTTGGCTATTTTAAAAATTGTTCCTAATTCCATTATAATCTATTTTAGACAAAAAGTTTTCAGATAAAAGTTGTAGATAATCACATCCCTAATGAGATTGTGTTCTCCGATTTTTTCTAAAGCCTGTCATTTTTGACATATGACACAAACATATGTTTTTTTAAATGGAAACCATAGTTGGCCATGACTCCATAAAAAGCGCCGTTTTTTAAGCTTTTCAACGATATAAGCTATAATATGTTTCTTTCACAAAATTACTGAGTTATAACCAATTCTTATCTTTCTTGACTAATTTCACTTAGTTAGCCATGGAAACAAGTTCAATCGGCGTTGCTCTCAGAAATGTGGAATTGTCACATCCAATCTTTGTAAATTAACATAAACAAAAATTGTAAATAAGAGTTTTTTAAATGAAGAACAGCGTGTAGAATTATTGGTTCAACTTTTCTTGGCCATACAGTTTCGAGGATATGTTGACCGGTGAACGATACGTTTTTTAGAAAACGGTTTTCAAGACATGTTAGAAAAGTTAAATTTATATACTCGCGCATTAATACAGTGGTTCCAACATGACTTTCATTATGACGCACCAACCTTCCCCCTACAATGAAAGAAATATTATTTAAAAAATTATTTATATCATAATTATGTAGATTCAGGGAGGTGGACCAATTGCATGGGTCACCTGACCTATTCATTTTAGATTTTTTTATGCGGTATGGTTAACAACAAGGTTTACAAAACAACTTATGAATTAAGAGAGGCACTCGAAGAGGCGGAACAGGAGAAGTTTAATTAAGGCGACCGGTCGTTCTGGGACAATAGTTAGAAATTCAGTTTTAAAAAGATGCATTTATGTACTCAAAATAATTGCGGATTTTTTGAACATTTTCTAAAATAACTTAAAGTGTACGTAGTGATATTATTTTTTTGAGTTTTAGTTTGTGTAAGCTAAATTGTAAAGAGCCGTTTAATAACATATTTTGTCTTTTTATAAGTTATAAATCACAACAAAATTTGGACACCATTGAAAACCGTTTCTAAAAAACGTAAGTAACTTTCACCGGTCAACGTATCCTGTATGGCCAAGAAAAGTTGAACCAATAATCCTACACGCTTTTCTTCATTTGAAAACTTTTTATTTACAATTTTTGTTTATTTTAATTTACAAAGATTGGATGTGACACAATTTCACATTTCTGAGAGCAGCGACGATTGAACTTGTTTCCATGGCTAACTAAGTGAAATTAGTCAAGAAAGATAAGAATTGGCTATAACTTAGTAATTTTGTGAAAGGAACATATTATAGCTTATATTGCTGAAAAGCTTAAAAAATGGCGCTTTTTATGAAGTCACAGCCAACTATGGTTTCCTTTTAAAAAAACATATGTTTGTGTCATATGTCAAAAATGACAGGTTTTATAAAAAATTGGAGAACACAAACTCATTAGGAATATGATTATCTACAACTTTTATATGAACATTTTTTGTCTAAAATAGATTGTAATGGAATTAGGGACAATTTTTAAAATAACCAAAATTTGTTTTTTTCGAAGTATCTAGTAAGCCATGAACTTTTTCAAAAATCTGAAAGGCGCATATTTATGACCCCACAAAACTGCAATTCTTTCCCCATTTAACCGACTCTCTATCTCCCGTAGTTTCCGAGATGCCCATAGAGAACATCGTAGGAAACTCACCCTGTATAAGAATTACAGAGTAGTGTACTACTTTTTTATAATTATTGGGTCCCTACCAGTTTCCACCTGCAGGTATAGTCTTAAAGTATTTTGAGGGTCTAGTTGGAGCTCTAGTTTCAAAAAAAACTTTTTTTTTAATCTCAAAAATGAAAATCCAGTTAAAACCCAATCATCCACACTGTAAAAAGCAAAGCTATATGACCAGATTGAACGTACGGGGTCTAGAGAACAACGATACCGCCGACGCCCTCCGGGAAGCCATCAAAGAATCACTTCCACCGATAATTTCAATCTCAATCGTGGATGCTGAACATGGCTGGACACAACTAAGAGATGCGATTCACAAAACCAGCGCAGCAGTACTGGGAAAATCCAACAAAAAGAAACAACCAGACTGGTTTAACGAAAATCAACCGCATATACAGGCTTTGTTGGAACAAAAGCATAGAGCACATCAAGCCGTTACTGCAAATCCACACAATCCAAGACTAGCACACAACTTTAAGGCAGCCAACAACACGCTCCGAAGAAACCTGCGCCAACTAAAGGATAACTGGTGGTCGCAAAAAGCTAGTCAGATTCAGGAGTATGCCACGCATTACGACTATCGTAAATTCTTCGAGGCTGTAAAAGAAGTATACGGTCCAACTAAGAAGGCAAGATGCCCAATCATGGCACAAAATGGTGAACTTCTAAAAGAGGAAGAACAAATCAGAAACCGCTTGAAAGAGCATTACAGCCATATCCTTAACCAAGAAAACAACCCCAATATGGAAGCACTCAACATAATACCTCAGTATATCAGCCTCGATGTATTAGACATTCCAATAACAGAACAGGAAATAAAGGACTCCATAAAACAGCTTAAAAACAACAAATCAGCTGGCTGTGACGCGATTCCGGCGGAAATCTATAAGTGTGCAAGTAAAGAACTTATTGGTGATCTAAAGGCTCTCTTTGATGTCATATGGGAAAGCGGAGAGGTACCTCAGGACTTTTGCAACGCGAATATAGTGAATATATTTAAGAACAAAGGAAGTGCATCAGACTGCGGAAACTACCGAGGAATTTCACTACTGGCTATCGGAGGAAAAAGAAATGTTGAACACATACACATGGGCATACGAGGCCTTGGGACTTAAGCTGAACATCGATAAAACTAAAATCATGTGCACTCCCCCGGAAGATCACAACAATGCTATAAAAATCGGAGATGAGCTGTTAGAATATGTAGCGGAATTCAATTACCTCGGCAGTTTGATTTCGGAAAAGGCCAATATCGACTCTGAAATTCAGCACAGGATTAGCAGCGCCTCAAGAACATTCTGGAAATTAAAAGGCGGGGTTTTCTACAATCATGACTTGAGGACAAAAACGAAACTTGCGGTGTACCGAGCGATAATAATTCCCACCATGTTATATGGAAGTGAAACCTGGGTGCCGTACCGTCGACACATGAACGCATTAAACAAGTTGCAACAGAGACATCTTAGACAACTCTTAAGAATAAAATGGTTCCATCATGTCTCAAACGTATCGGTCCTTGAAAAAGCTAACTGCGAGAGTGTTGAAGTCATGATTACAAAGTCCCGCTTAATATGGGCTGGTCACGTATGCAGAATGCAAGAAAACCGCATACCAAAATCTCTGCTTTATGGTGAACTTGTAGACGGTAGGAGGAGGCCGGGTAGACAACTCAAAAGGTTCAAGGATATTTTCCACGAAAACTTAAAGGGAATTAACAAGCAGAATGAGTGGGAAGAGGCAGCTCACAATAGAACGGAATGGAGAAGAATGATAAAGTCAGTTAACAGCGCCAACCAAAAGGTAAAGAGGCAACAAAGCAATGAGATTTTTGAATGTCTGGAGTGCGGTAGACAGATAACATCACGTATCGGGCTTTTCAGTCACAGAAAAGCTCATGAAAGAAAACGCCTTGCGTGACCATCTTCTGATGCGTGCAAATACTCGTCAGCGAGTAATGGCGGTATGTATGTAGTTTCAAAAACGTTACAGCAATTACAAGAAATGCTGAACACATATACCTGGGCATACAAGGCTTTGGTCCTTAATGCTTAAGCTGAACATCGATAAAACTAAATTCAGTGCACTCCCCCGGAAGATCACAGCGATGCTATAAAAATCGGAGAAGAACTATTGGAATATGTAGCGGAATTTAATTACCTCGGCAGTTTGATTTCGGAAAAGGCTAATATCGACTCTGAAATTCAGCATAGGATTAGCAGCGCCTCAAAAGCATTCTGGAAATTAAAAGACGGGGCTTTCTACAATCATGACTTGAGCACACCAAAACAAAATTTGCAGTGTACCGAGTAATAATAATCCCTACCATGTTATATGAAAGCGAAACCTGGGTACCGAGCAGCGGCGTGCGGGGACAATTATAGGCGGGGAAGCGAATCGGTAAAAAACCCTATTTCGAGACAATACTTTTACATTTTCTTAAAAAACTTACCTTTGAAAATTCCGAGGCCAGTTCCATTGTTGGATTAAAATTCTATCGAAAATTGTTAAACAAACAAAAACACATAAAGTTATAATTGTTAAAATACGATATTTAAAATTAATTTTCCGAAGTACTTGACTTTTTTTGACCCGTTCATTATGCAGTTTGCTACTAATTTTTAATTGATTGTTCCAAAACTTTTTTCTTTTATAGTAGCAGTTAAATGTCCTTTACTATTGACATGCCTTTTTACATTTTTGTGAAAATTATTTAAATCTGTAATCCCGGCTACGTTCGAGTTAGTCGTCTCACTTATATTAAAAAGTAAACAGGGCCAACAAAATAATCTGGATAATTTATTGCAGCCGATTAACCACTCATATTTGTCGTAAAACACAACATGAAAATGTCTAGTGAATTTTTTACCGACTTCTCCACTCTGGTCTCCAAATTGATAGGAACCGTTGGCATACCAGACTTAATAATGTCAGTTTTTTCTTGGAAGTTCCGACTAGAAAATCCCTTTTTTAATAACACACATACAACACAAAAACAGTCTAAATTATTGTCCACAATAGCAGAAGCAGAAGATTGTCCTTCTTGACCCTCCATTACAAACGAAACAATAAACACTAAGTTAAATCCGAAAAAAATACTATATTACCTATAAAATCGCAAGCGAACCCGTCCCAATAAATTAAAAGTCGAGGAAGGCGGCCGAAAGATCGCTGCCGTGGCTACCCATACAGCACGTCCAAATAAAATTACGTTTCTACAAGGGAGACACATGAGGAACAAAATATGTTAAAGTGAACCTAAGTGTTCATCTAGTTCTAACATATATATATGAGATACACGCAGGTTTATATTGATAGAATTGTGTGATACAGTGTTTACTAGTTGTATACCGTATGCACTCAAGATTCTAAAGAGTTTTTTGTAACGTAACAAATAATTATTAAAATGATGAAATCTGACGTCGGTATATAAGATATACAATTTATAAGTCATATGTATGTGTGATACTTCGTATCATAGTTGTGCCTATAGTACACATCTTGTAAAAATGTGACGTATACACATAATATAAATATCTATATAGACACTTTGTAATAGTTTACTCTTGTGTCTACATTCTAGCATGAAATGAAGGTGTGCGCACGCGCGGATAGCCTCAGCGTAGATACACCGACCAAGTGTATCTTATGTGTCCTCTCTCCTTTCTCCTTTCTAGGAGTGGTATGTGTTAACAGCCATTATTGTTTTATCATAAGAAGGTCTATATAAATGTTCTGTTTGTGTTTAGTTTAAAAGAGATTTTAAGGTAAGCACAGGTTTTTAATTACCTTGTTATACCTTCCTAAGGGTATTATTAATATTATAGCACCTGACTCAACCAAACGACCAAACCAATTTTTGACTCCAATGAATGAAAACTCCAAATATTCTCGTATAATGATAAAGAGGTTAGCTCTGCAATATAATTTCTTTTTATTTGGAAATAATAAAAATCTAAATGGACCAGAGAAAGAACGATTTAAACACTTCAAAGAACTTACACTGATATTCGGTAAGTTATTGATGAATCAATATACAGATATGTTTAATATTCAATAATCAGTTTCATATAAAATTTAAGTACTTACTTAAAATACAACAAAGTCCAACAGAGTGCTCGTTGAATGAGTATGCTAACAAACCAATTGCTTGGAGGGAAAAGAGGACAAAAAAAGACTAAAGAAGGTCCACCAAATCATGGCAATATACCAGTGTTTACTATTTTAGTATGTACTTATATTTTTAATACATTTTATACAAATTCATTCTTTTACAGTGTTTTCTTACTTCGGGTTTCTGCAGTGTAAATAATTATTATTATTGTGTTATTTGCGATATTGCGTTTCATGATATAAGGAAATATAAGAATTTTATTTTTTAACCACTTAATCCATTTTATGGAAGAAAAGTGGTACATTTAATACAAAACAAAAATGGAACAATTTTAAGGCTACTTCTCTTGAACTTACGATCGAGATACTTTTGGAAAATACAAAGTTTTGCCTTCCTAATTTTCGTTCTAAAAAGATATAATTGGTGTCATTGAATAAATATTTCTTAAAAAGAACGAAAAGTTAGGCATCAAAACTTGTATTATTAGGAAAATATATACGTATAGCAAAATATATACGTATACACGCGGTAGTCACAACTGCAATGTGTAAACAGAGTTTAAACGTAATACACAAGCACTGTGTATCCTACGGCACACTGTGTATCCCTTACTTTGTGTATACGTAAATGCTATACTGTGGCTACATTATGAGGCGGACGTTTAACCTTTGTGCATACGTGTTGAACTACAATGTGTAAACGTAGCATATTTACATCGCGGGAATTGTGTTACCCTGTGTCTACGTCTAATAATGTAAACACATCGTAAATGTGATTTGATGTGCTGTATGGGTAGCAACTGTGCGCTATTTTACGGCTTAAATTTGTCGTTTGCGTTCGAGGTCAATAACACCGACATGAAGGAGGGATAGGCGACCGGCGGCGATTTCCAGGCGCGCATCCATGCAGTGAAAGGCTAATTAAATTTACTACGTTTATGTTATGTTTCAAATAAATAATTTTAACAAATTAAATTAATCTTTTGTTATAAAATAACAGTATTATTAACGTTTAACTATTTATTTTTTTTATCTTTAAAAAGTTTAGGGAAGCGGTGCTTCCCCCGCTTCCATGGACCGCACGCCGCTGGTACCGACACATGAACGCATTAAACAAGTTGCAACAGAGAAATCTGCCTATCTGCGAGAGCACTGAAGATGATTACTAAATCCCGCTTAAGATGGGCTGGTCACGTATGCAGGATGCAAGAAAACCGCTTACCGAAATCTCTTCTCTACGGTGAGCTTGTAGACGGAAACCGAGTGGACAACTCAAAAGGTAGAAGGATATTTTTCACGAAAACTTAAAGGAAGGAAATAAATGGAATTCTAGGGAACTCTTTGTTATTTTTTGTTTTATCGCCTAAACCTAGTTTTTGCATATCTAAAGAAGATTTCTTCAACTTGACCATCATGACATGTGTTCAAATGATTTTTTCTTATTATTGGGTATGCTGAATTGATCCCGTATACTATATCAGACTTATTTCCTGATAACTTTAACTAATATTAAAATAATTCTATTCATTGCCATATACAGTATATAGCTCATTATGTGGTGTGAAAATACCACGTAACATGTTATTTATTATTATCATTATTATCATGTTTTTTTTATTTAGAAAATAAAATAATCTTTGTTAATTACCTATGCCAAACTGTAGAGCAACGTATTAAAATATGATACATAAACTCGAAAATTTACCTGTAATTGCAATGTTCGCATGTTGCTAATTGAAGGCAGCACAAAGGCTTCTTTTCTTTGAGCAAATAACATAGAGTTGGACTCACTCCTACATAGGGTGACACTGGAGGAAAGCCCTTAACTATACTGTGAATATAAAATAATATTATTATGTAATTACAAATATAATGTAAAGTAATCATATTAAAATTATATTAACTGCTTTTTACTACTACTGCTATCTATTACTATTGTATTCTTCAATCAGTATTTTGTGTCTTGGGCTAGATTACGAACACTCGATTGGAATGGAAGTCGCTACGAGTTGTAAAAAATGCGATATATGAACTATTTTTTGAAAAAAAATTCACCGTTTACGAGAAAAATTTAAAAAAATGTTGATCTTTGACCTTGAATAACTTTTTTAGCAGACGTGGGATCGATGGGGACTTTTTATTTTTTCTTTGGTCAACCCAATGCCTACCAAAATTCAGCTATGTCGGAATTATGGTAATTTGATCACTATTTTTATGACTATATTGAACGGACTAAATGGCATTTTTTGCAACTCGTAGCGACTTCCATTCGAATCGAATGTTCGTAATCTAACCTCTTGTATATACAATCTTCATACATTAAGATGCAAAAAACGGAAAAATTTTTCGTCAAATTTAAAGCGTCATAATATTTTTTTTTATTTTTAGCACAATTTTCATGATTTTTTTGGCAAACTGTATATAAATATATCAACTTTGATTCTTAATCTCATTTTTTTAAAAACTTTAGTATTGGGGTTTATTATCGAATGGTGTTGTTTTTACCTTAAATTTAAAACACCCTGTGCAATAATTTCGAAGACAAATTTTCCTACAACATTATTTTCCTGCCAGAATCATGTCCCCTGAGCATTTTGTTTTTTTGGATAATGTCAATACATTCCAACAAAAGTTTGGGCATTATTTTCAATTATTATTTCTTTTATTATTAAGTTATTTTTGAAAAATAACATCAAAAAGTAATGATAATTGAAAAAATTGATTGCGTTTTTTTGCATCTGAGTGTATATACAGGGTGCTACAAATTCAGGGTATGAGCATTAGTATCTCGGAAATCGTAATAGATACGAATATGGTTAAATTGGGGCAAAGCTGCGCCTTGGGATATTCGCCAACGCCAACATGCTATCAAAAATGTTTCAACATTTACAAGGATTTGAAAAAAAAAAGATTTTTTTGGAAAATGAACTTTATTTTTTCCTGTCGTTACTTGTGACTTTTGAGAAAACCAAAAAAGTGATTGCACATTTTCATAGCCACTTTATCAGAGCTATCTAATCGTATTTTTAAATTTTCAAATTAGTTAATAGTTTCTGAGATACATAGACCAACTTAATTTTTTTAAATACGGGCGATTTTTATTTCAGATTTTGAAAGAATTCAGTCTCATGAGTACAACGATATGCCACACTTAATATGTTCTTTTGTTTTGTTCTATTGACACTAATTTCTAGTTCGGTTCTGTTTTTTTAAATATTTAACCTTATTATAATAATCGTAACAATATTGATGAGCGCTAAATAACATTGAATAAGAAAAATCGAGCCAAATGGAAGATTCAAATAAGTAATATCCAGGTCAGTATTTTAAAGATATTATTTTTACGTTTTTGTATTACGAATTTGAAATCTGAATGTCACGATCTAGTAATATAGATAATATTAATCGTAATTATTAGAAATCAACTTCTAGAAACCAGTTTATAATGTTCTACAGGTTAAATAAATTAAGTTGGTAATTTGAACATCTAAAAATACTACCAGGTAGCCTTGTCAAAGTGGCCATGAGAATGTGGGATTAGTTTAAGCATTTTCTAAAAAGTAATGACAGGAAAAAATAAAATTGATTTTCAAAAAAATTGTTTTTTTTCTAAATAACTCTAAATTTTTGCAACTTTTTTGATGATATCTTGGTGAACATCCTAAGGCGCAAATTTGCCCCAATTTAATGAATTTATTACGGTTTCCTAGTTACTAATGCTCGTACCTCAAATTTGTAGCACCCTGTATATTGTATGTACTATTCTCTATATACAAAATATTCTAAAATGTCGGTGACCAAAACCTAAACAACTAATTTTAATAATATGTTGTTTTCTTTATAAATCTTTGTTGGCCTTGCATCGAACTATATTCGTATAAATTTTTACATCGTTTAGGCAACCATTTGTTAATGACATTAAACATTATTATAAATTTCTAGAATCTTAATATTAATACAGCAACCTTTGGATTAAAACCACTTTAAGCTAGCATTAGACTACAGAAAATAATCAGGGGCGGATACAGGAATTCATTTTAGGGGGGGGGCCAAATAAAAAGTAATGTAGAATATACCTTTTAGGGCGCCATTTTTAATCCAAAAGCCTAATATTCGACCAAATTTATAGATCTGAGGGCAGGCCCGGGCCCCATGGGCCCCCCCTCTGTATCCGCCACTGAAAATAATATAATCTTATGATATATCCTTGAAAAAATTGGTTTGAGCTCTATACCGGGTGCGTCTCAACAGTGGCTCACCCCTTTTGAAAAAAGTGGCTTTCCATTTGAAAAAATTGAGATTTGATTAAAAATACGATTTGAGCATTTTCTAACTGGTCAGGACAAGAGACTAAAAACATTAGACAATCCAATCTATTTTTCCATGGCTCCTTGATTAAAAATTAGTATTTTTAATATAGCTATGGCACTCTAGATTGAAATTTAAAATACAATTTTTGAATGTCATAAGTTGACATATAATATATCATTCTATTCAGAATGTAATTTTCTATCGAATAAAGTAAAAAAAAACACTTTCGAGACGCACCCGGTATAACTATCTTAAAATTTATGCATGTTGTTTTATTATTCCTCGTTTAGGCTCACTAACTCTGGCTTATATTCTATTATACCGGCTCACAACATTGTTAAATTCATTGTTGGTTTAATAGACATATTCACTAATTTCTAACTTCAGTGAATTTCGATGGCTACAAAAAAAACATTGCACTCAAAATTTGTCTTAAAAACTATAATTTTCTCACATAAACGCAAAACAAAATTGAGAAACGCAGCAAGGCTAGAAAACGTACCCGGCTCGAGGCTACCTGTTTTTGACGTCACTGCTTTGATCGATCGATGGCGTCCGTACGATCGTGCACTTGCCGCATTGTTCTTACAGACGTTGGCGAAGGTGTATTGTTTATTTTCATTATTTTGGAGTTTTGATTTTTTTTAATATGGGTCCTATAGGGTGTCCAATTTAAAATGAGGTACATGGGGATCTCTCTTGGAAACCGTTGAAGATACATAGTTAGTTAAATTGAAGCAAAATTGCGTATTTGTATGCCCAAAAATAATCTATGTCTATTTTATTTTAAAATCACACCGTTACGTAGATACAAGGTGAAAAAGAAAAAATGAACATTTTTGAAAAACCACCATTTTCTTTATTATTGGAGCTAAGGTAATCAAAATTTCAATATATGGGCAAGGCAACATGGCAATTTTAAAATGATATAAAAAAAACTAGGCCTTCTATGTTGCGCACGGTCGAGGTCAGCTTTTATTTTTCTTATGAGTGCCATATTTAAATTTGACATTTTAAAAATCCTTATTAAAAATATTTTCAACCATTGTAGCAGCCTAAAATAATTTGTTATTTTTGCGCTACATCTCTAGCAGAATTTAAGCAAATAATGCCCATCTCTAGTCGGTACCGCTGCAATTTTGATAGTACCGTGAATGCCGTTCAATGTGGTGGCGCAGGGTTGCCATTTATATTAATCGTTAGAATTATTCTTTAAATGTTATTAATAAATTTCCTGAAATTTCCTTATTTCGAGCACAGTTTGGTGTGCGTCGATTTTTTGTCTTCAAAAGATAATCTCTGGCCGAATTTTAACGTTTTATTCGGATTTTTCGACACTTCCATTTCGACCACTGGTGATAAGTCCCAGGGTGGTTTTCACCTTCCCAGAGAAGTTTTTTTGTACATCGTTTGTGGCGGAGAATAACCCTGCGAGTAAGTTATAGCTTTCTTCTTTTTACCTTTTTTCGTGTACTTAGAGAAAAATCACTTATTATAGATGTATCCCTTACCAACTTAAGGGGAAGATTTGACATTTTGGGAGTTTTTATTGGAGTAGATTTTAGAGGAGTTTTTTTTGAGAACACAGCAATAGTTTTTTTTTGAGCCGAAGATTTTTAGCAGTTTTGGGTTTTTATGAATGGTTCCGTGAAGGTTCCCTGTTGGAGGCTGGTGTGAATTGGCGAGTTTCCCCCTTTTCCGCAAATTTCCAAGTTTTCTGATGGTTTGAAGCAGTTAGGTAATAGTTATGGGCCCAGGTACGATACGAAATCAACACTGATTGACTACAGCTTCAGAGCAAAAGCTAAGTACTCATTTACGTTTTGCTTTAGAATCTTTTTGCCTTTTTTTAACTTTCTACTGAAATTTACTTTATATTGAAACCTTTTTAATGAAACTTAAACAAACGATTACGTTTAGTAATTTATATTTAGTAATATTTAAGTTTCGATATATCAAGATAACATTAATTTATTGTATTTCTTTTAAAGACCTTTTTTATTCACTTTCAAACTGGAGTTATTTAATTATTAATAAATGTACATAGTTTTTTTTTATTAAATTTTGCTGTTTTAATTTGAGATATATCATTACTGAACATCTTTAGCCTGTGGTAATTTTCTTAATTTTTTAAATATCACCTTAACTTGGCTTAAATTAAGTGGTGCCCAACAATATGCAAAAATAATTAAATGGACCTATACCTATTGTTCACCAGACGAAGAACAGCCGTACGCTGCGGTTTTCTTTTTAATTTTTAACATCCTTTTTTATAATTTTTTCTAACCTTTTAAAAAGACGCCGCACCATGTACCAATATGAAAAAATCAATTATAGAAAAAGCAAAAGTGCACTTCGGCCATGCGCAACGTAGTACGCATAGACTTTTTTGGACATAATTTTTAAAATTTCCATATTGCCTTACCCCTATGTTAAAATTTTGATGACCTTAGCTCCAATAATAAAGAAAATATGGTGGTGTTTAGAAAATGCACATTTTTCTTCTTCTCCCTGTATTTACGTAACGGTATATGCATATTAAATAAAATAGACCTAGATTATTTTTGGACACACAAAAACGCAACTTTTCTTCTATTTAACCGATCTTGTAACTTTAACGGTTTTCAAGATTCCCATTATTCCCTATGTAGGTACCTCATTTTAAACTGGACACCCTGTATACGTGTGCGAAGTTTCAGGTCAATACAATTAAAATTTAAGATTTGGCTCCTTCTTCTTAATCCTCTCCTCCCTGATCAGATCAACAATACGATAATTTTACATTGTCTTAGCTTCTATATACGCATGCAAATTTTCAGTTTAATATGATAATTAAAATTTAAAATTTGGCCCCCTCCTCCTAAATACGGGCCTCTGACAGCTCAAAAACTCAATAATTTTGTATTGGTTAAAACCAAATGTTGTTTGTTATCGCTTTCAAGTAAACCCGTCCTCCATCTCACTAAGTAGCTTTGTTTTTAAACTAGTAATAAACTCCAAATATTAATCACAATAAATCAAATTTAATATACAAACTACATCCGAGCAAAACGCCATATGTCGTATTCTAGCTTGTTCTGTTAGAAATTTCACAGCGTGTAGACAGCACCGTTTACTCGCGCGGAAATACCGATCGAAGCAGTGACGTCAGGCCGCGTTCAGCGAATTCAAACGATTACGATAATTTCGCACGGATTTTTGAGGCATAAGCCTTTTACGGAATGTTATGAAACTTTGAATACTGAGTTTTAATGTCATAATGAATGATTTTATGAGAAGTAGGCACGTTTTAATTTTTTTGTGAACATTTCTATTACGTCTCTGGAGAATTTTTCTCTACGTATTCCAATAACAAACAATTAACTCTAGTTCATTAAAATCGTGTATCGCTTATGATCCAAAATTAGGGAGCTTGAAAAACTGAATGAAATGAAGCACTTAAACGCCTATAACTGACATTCCTTTCCAAATTAATTTTCCTATCTAATAATAACATAGGAAATTTGATTAGAATAATTATATAAAAATTACTATATAATAACTTGTATCATTATTCTCTAAATATCAAGTAATCAGAAATATCGTTGGAATATTTTAGCTTAATAATATGTACATGATGTTATTAAAATGTAATCAAATAATTCGTTGACTATCACTATCTAATAATCAGTCATTGAAAACTGATATAGGACTTACCTAATACATTCATCATGCCATGCAGGTTTCTCGAACTCCATAGAATCATCAGAAAGACTAGACCTAAGAAGTGCAAGGTTTGGACAGAGTGATAACGGGTAAATAGATAATGCTGATTGAAAGCGCCAAAAATATCAAAAGCAGTGTTATCAAGATGAATATATCATGCACCAGGAACATTGATGTTTCTACAGCGCAGCGTTTTAAGTTGTTTAGTAACTAAAGTAAGCAAAAAAAAGACTGCTAAAGAAATACGTGCAAGGATTTATTATGTTTTAAATCCATCAGAAAAGAATTTATTCATGCAAATTAAGTAACGCAATGCTTAAACTAATCCAATTTTGATTTTCAGATTTTTTAAGCGTATAGAAAAGTTTTGCCGGCCTAGTCATTCTAAATCCGTGGTTCGTAATTTTATTAGTAAGACGAAAATAAAATACTCGTTTAAACTGTTGATAGACAAAAATACAAAGAAATATTGGTTGCCCATGATTTACGACGGTAGGCATGATTTATGATTAGGGAGATAAAAATAAAATTTATATTAAGCGGGCATACTAACGGAATGTAACATATCAATGTAACATCGCAACCGGACGGAACGCATGCGGTCGTTCGTTTGTTCGTTCCCTCGGCCATCCGTTTCGAGTCGGTACATCAAAGGCGTTCGCAAATGAATGTTCGCTACCGAACGAATGTTCATTCGTTCGTTCGGTAGAAGTATGGACGGCACCGGATTTTAGAACCAAACGAAAACACCTTAACCCATTCGTTTGCGAATGGACACGAACGAATGAACATTCGTACGTTCGTTCGGATAGTGAATTCGCACCTGATGTGAGATATTAGAACTATATTTCATATCAACTAAACTTCTAGTTACGTAATCGAGGGCTCGATTATTAAAATCATTGTTGCCAACCATGGACATATTCAAATGTCAAGTTGTCGTTTATATATTTATTTCCTGACATTGTCATTCGTTTTGACACTTTAGCTTTGTATTATGTTTTTGGTTTAAATAAATAGTGTTGTGATACTTTAAGCTTGAAAATGTTTACTAGCAGACCTTGTAGTCGAACATTGTTCTTTTTAGAACCTCGTTAAGTGCGAAGTGTACCAGATAGCTTAATAGCCGTAAAAAACTGATTGCTACTTTATTAGAATATTTTTAAAAGTGCTGTTAACGAGCTGAGTTTTGTTGATGTAAATAATTATTGTTTATATATGTATAATTATTTTTTTTCCTTAAAATATTTTGATTAAAAGAAAATATTTATATAATAGTCAGCGAAGCTGTGCCGGTCAAGCTTAATCACGTGACTAAAAGTTTATTTGGTATGAACTGTATTTATTTTAATTATTGATATTTAACGGTCTAATCTTTCGGGTATCAGTCATTGCTGCATTAATATCCTAAACGATTTCTTGATCGCTATTAAATATTTTACCGGAAAACTGACATTATGCATAGCAGCAATGCATCTTCCCCCTTTTTATGGTTCTGTACTTTAAAAGGAAAACAACGGTACTCTTATAGCATCACTTTATTGTCTGTTCGTCGGTCCGTCCGTCTCTCTGTCAAGAGTTTTAATAACTCTATGGTCAAGACCCCTATCTCGGAAACGCGTGGAGGTAATGTAGTAGATGTAATATGTAGTAGATGTCATATGTGATGTAGTAGTGTAATATAACCGATAATTTTGGTAATATTACGTAATATTAGCACAAGATCGGTAACATTGGAAATATTGATTTTTCCTACTCTTTTCCTTTTTAGCCGACCATACCAACAGGTATGGTAGGTACCTAAATACAAAATATTTTCATGGTGTCTGTCTGTCCGTCTGTCCGTCTGTCTGTAACACGATAACTCAAAAACCGCTAAATCGAGTTTAACCAAATTTGGCACAAAAATACTGTGGCACCCGAGAATCTGGCCATTAGTTTGTAGTGGGGGTGTGGGGTTGGTAAGGGGGTATGGGAGGGGGTTAAAAATTTTAAAAAATCGTAACTCCAAAATTACAGTAGCTAGCGAAATGCGATTTTCAATTTAAGATTAGGAATAATATTTGCAACAACATTTATAATAACATCAAAATCAGTTAAAGTCGCAGTTTTTGAGATAAAAAAAATTGGAAAAATTCCTTTACTTTGAAACTAAAAGAACTGCCTACCAACTTTTTATTAACATATTTTAGTATGGGCGGCTATACGTGCCTCCCGGCGCCAATTTTTCTTGTTGAAAACAAGACAACACATTAAAAAGTCTAAGCCAGTTATTTCTGATGTTCTTTCACTAAACATAATAAGCCTTATGCTGGAAACGAATTTTGGCTACAAATACAAGCAACTTATGACTTAAGCCAATTTCTAGTGGATAACAATTTTTGAAGCTAACGGACCAACAACCTCAAAAGGGTTTACCTGCTTTTTTGAAATTAGATCTGTATTATGTATCGAAGTACCAGATTCATCTGTTGATATTAAATATCATTATTACGTTACAAATAAAGCATACGAGTATTTTAGCAGTTAACTTACGACTGGGCCGCGTTAAAGTAATTTGCTACCCTATTCACCAATTTTTCCCACACCCTCGCACTAATAAACTACTTAAAACAATTATCGCATATTTAAAAAAAAATTGAAAAACACAACACCTTGAATTCTGTGACTTACGTTTTTAAATAGTTTGGATACTGTAAAGTCAAATTCGTAATAAGCCTATGCGCTGAAATGCAATTTTTAGCCGACCGATTATTTAGTTCCAAAGGTGAAAAGAATACATTCTTAACTTCTAATTTCTTAATTTCCTAACCGATCGGCCGACTATCTGATTGCATGTCTGCGTGGCTCCATAAGAATATATTGGTTACATATCTGTAATAAATAGCAATCAATAGTCGGCCGACTATCTGATTGTGAATTCTGCGTGGCTCCATAAGAATATATTGGTTACATATCTGTAACTAAATAGCAATCAATAGTCGCCCGATTGTCTCCATCAGAATAAAGTAATCCGTAAACTCCATCAAGTAAAGCGACTAAAAATTGCGTGTCAGCGCGTAGCCTACTTATGCCAAAAAAGCTCGCAAGTGGTTTGGACAGAAAAATGCACGCTTCATTAAGAAATATGTAATAATTACTTTTTTAAATATGTGTTATCATCGAAAGTATTTTTTACATGTAGATCTCATTATGGAATCACTGACTGGCACAATACAAAATTAGAGGAAATATTTTTGCTAAAGAATTCGTCCTTTCCAGCGAAAAATCTATGTCTGATTGATGGATCGGACCTGTCTAGTGGGTAGGAATTTGCTCCAGCTCTAAAATAAGTGTGTTGGTTATAAACTATTTAAATTTGCCATCGTAAACAGCCGCAACCGAAAGAACCTTTATACTTATGGATTTGTCCATCGGCCAAGAATAAACAAACTTACCGTAGAAAGGGTAGGAAAACTTATTTATATGGCTTATAATTATTATTATTTACTAAATGGAGAAAAACATCCAAGAATGATAGAGGCTATTGAGAAATAAATGGAAGAAGATATCGATTTTGAAGTAATAGATTTGACTCAATTAACGAAAGAGAAAGAAGAATCATATGACAATATTAAGTATGATTTATCACTATCCACTCTATTACGTACTATAACATAGGCTACTTTGACTCTGATTAGCTTAAAAACGTTCCTGTCTTTTTTTGTAATGTTTTTACAATGAAGATGTGTGATTTATTTATTTTTTTATTTGGATATTAGCTGTATCCGGCATGCTCTGAATTCCCACTTAAAAAGGATTTGTTCTATATAGTTCAGTCATTGGGGATTTTTGCTTGGAAAAAAGTCCGGAAGTTTTGCAACTTTGCAGGTTTATTGGTTTTGAGGTCCCTAACTAAAATCCATAAAATGCACATTTCCAGACTTGCCGCCGGCGCACAGTAGAACGATCATATGTTTGATTCTGGACATAACACTTAAAATCGTAATTAAACTTTTAATACAAATTTCTTCAAATACATATTTAGAAAGCCATAATTTAATCAACTAAAATCGAATTTTATTGAAAAATTCACCCAAAGCTATATATTATGGTATACAATATATGCGTTTCTTGTTAAAGATATTCAATATGTGGGAAATTTATACTCGCAGCTCAAATTATTGATTAAATAAATGACTTAATTCATGTGCCCCATACAAAAGTAGCCCATATTTTAACGAATAATTTTAAAGAAATTTTGAAACACTTGGGTGTTTATTTAACTCTATTCTCCGTGAAAATATACAGTTTTTAGCGAAATTTATTATAGATTGCGTGTTTCTTTCGTAATTATCAAAAAGTCCCACCGAGTCCCGATTATTTGTTGGTGGGTATGACTTCTCTATTTTATGCTAAACTTATGAATACAAAGTTTTATTGCAGCCGCTTGCAGCAAAGATGGCTTTAAATTTTTGGCTTTAAACACATTTTTTCAAAAAAATGTTTTAAGTTAGAAATTTTGCATAATTGCTGAATGTCCAGCACATTGCATTGGGTCGATCCACTGTGCGGCGCCGCCATCTTGCCAAGATGGCACCCAAAATCGGTATTTTGTGAATATCTCGAAAAAGAGAATAAAATTTCCTATAAAAAAGGTTTTATGAAAATTTTCGCTAAAGTCAACCGTTTAGGCACAAAATCCCTGGAAATTTTACAATTTTGCGTCAAATATGATATATTATGTAAATGTCGATTAGGGTTCACTAAAACTAGTTTTAGTTTAGTTTTTTTCAATTTTGTCATGAAATAGTGGCGCATCATTAATTCGCTCATTAATTATTTATGAATAATTAATTTTAATTATTGAAAATGTGTACTTGTTTCCACACCACCCAAGAGGTAAAATACATGGCGCGTGTATTTTAACGTGGTCTCCCCGGAGGCCTACTCTATTAGGTAAATTAAAAACTTTAACTTATCTGCACAAGCCCAACGGATCTGGCTCATTGATGTCATATTCGATCGTGTCTGCTGTGCTGGACTCATCAGGGTGGTCTCTCAATACGTCCAAC